TGTCAATATTAATTCGTTGTTTTATATATATTAGAAAATAATTAATTTTCGATGAATTAATATGACGAATTGAATAATTATTTTCTAACATAATAATATAAATGTAAATATATTTTTTCTATCATTTATTTTTATTTTAATAATAAACTATTGTTTTATCGTGTATAAATAATAGTATTTTTACCTGGCTAATGCATTTGAACTGATCCGTTTTCTCCCGGAACTGGAAAAGTCCAAAAGAAATATCATTAGATATAATAATCATGAAAAAATTGTTTTAAACAACGATTGATATAAATTATCAACAATAATAATACGATTATTGTAATTGAATTGCTTAAATAAGTTAAGAATAATTTCAACACGACTCTATACCGATTTATCGAGTGTGTTGAATATATGCCAAATTTTTATTTCTTTCTGTCATTATTTTTCACCGTTCACAAATGCATAAACAATGTATATATATGTTTGCAATATATATAAAAAATATATAATTAAATTTGGACGTAGATTATATTCTAAATTAAGTGTCGACCTATTGAGAAACGTTTTCATATAAATATATGTATAATGATGCACACTATAAGAGAAATTTTAAACAGAAACCATTGTGTTTTTCTAGTAAAAACTTGAACATTATTTTTTTTCCTTTTTTTTTCCTTCTTTTTCTTCTTATCTTCCGTTTTACAGATAGAGAGTAGAAAAAAGAAAGATAGAGATAGAGAAATATTTGCACATACGATACTTTTCTCACGCCATATTTTCACACGTCTCTTTGTTTCGCCATCGTTTTCTTCTATCGACGGAATTGTTCTCGCGAAGAAGAAAAAACAAAATTATAATTAATAGACGTTTCGTTTGTCGTATGCAAAATTTCTTTTTTTCTCTTTGTGGATTAACATTTGTTAAAAGTATTATATTTTTATATATATTACCATGGGGGTGTTCGTCTAAGGGATGTTCGAAGCCAGGAATGCCTTCCTATGGTCGAATTCGGACTTCTCGGATTTCTATAATAAAAACAAAACAACGTTATTTCAATAATTTATAATAAAATTAATTTATTTTTTAAATGTAATTAATATAGTATATTATATATATATATATATAT